GAAGCCATTGGCGCCGTTCGAGCTGTGGGCGCAGAGAGGGGGGCAGAAAGAAAGGGAGAGAGGAACAGAGAGAAAGTGGGAGGACACTCCGCCATTGGAGCTTTAACCCTGAACAATCGACCATAGAGGACCAATCCAGCTCTTGGAGCTACTAGAGCTGTTGGAGCTAGTATCCCTCAAGTGGCGAGGGGGTCAAAAATTGAACCCCCCGAGGTCCTATAGGCAGGTCCTAGGGCCCTACGGTAGGGTGCATGAGCCTACTCGCCACTTACGGGATACCTTTTGGACGATCCCAGAAAGGCTTTGGGTTCAGTATGACGATTGCTTCGAAGTGAACTCTATTCCGCATGCGGCGGGGTTGTTGTGCTCCAAATGCGTCGGGGGTTGAGTCGCACGACAAACGCAACGCTTCGTGCTAAAATTTTATATAGCCTCCTTGTTCGCAGAAAGTTGACTGAACGCGCACGACAAACAGGTTGTGGGCACGCCGAGCGAGGCAGACTGGGCGCAGATCTCGGAGCTTCCCGAGTGGCCTAAGGCCAAGAAAATGATGGGCGATAACGTCTGTTTGCCCCCCCATTTACGGTCAAGAAAACGCGGTTTGCGTTCGGGGTTGATCGTGTTGCGTTCAGGGTTGATCGTTCGGGTTGAGGTTTAAGGTCCAAAGTTTGGGGAAACCCTCCTGCGTTGTCGAGATGCCGTCTGTTACCCTCCCCTGATTCACCCTCCTTGCGTTTGGCGTTCAGGGTTGGTCGTTTTGCATTCAGGGTTGATCGTTTGGGTTGGGATGCAGGGTTCAGGGTTTAGGGTTTAGATAGACTCAGAGCTGCCCGAGTGGCTCAAGGCCGAGATAATGATGGGCGATAACGTATGCCCCCTCCCCCTGATTCATCCCCCTTGCGTTTGGCGTTCAGGGTTGGTCGTTTTGCCTTCAGAGTTGATCGTTTGGGTTGGGATGCAGGGTTTAGGGTTCAGGGTTTAGATAAACTCGGACCTGCCCGAGTGACCCAAGGCCACGGAAATGATGGGGGATAGCGTATGCCCCCCCCCCCCTGCGTGTTGCTTTCAGGGTTGATCGTCTGGGTTGGGGTTTAGGGTTTACGGTCGATCGTTTAGGGCTTAGGGTTTAGGATTAGGCAAACACCCAAAGTAACCCTCTCTTACACTCGCCCCCTCTTACCCCTTCTCCCGCTCCCTCGCAGATTGAGACAGAGTCACTGGACCACTTAGCAGCCACTGGGGGCTTTACGGATACAGTCCATCTGAACGATTTGTACTAGAATCTTATCCATTACCCTCTAACCTAACCGGAATTTCACCTTGAATTCACAGTGAAAAGGTCTTCGGTCGCTGCTAAGTGGAGAAGGCCACCCCGGTCTCGATCATCTCTGACACGGTTTGCTCACCGTGTCACGATTTGCTACAGTATACTATTTGCTACAGTAACCCCCCCCCCCCCCCCCCCCCCCCCCC